TACAATTGGCCTGAACCTTTAAGAAATCGCCATCTTGTAGCTCTAGAAGACATTTACCAACAGAAACAAGATTTTGTAAGGACATAAATAATCCTTATAGCTCAAATTATCCTATTTTTTTTGTCATCACTAACGTCTACTTATAGCCAGAAGGGGGTCTTGATGAGTCATTTATACTTTTGCATGCAGATAAATGTATTTATTGCCCAACAGTTCTTGTTTCAAAGGCAGTGGCAGAAAGTCCACAGCTATGCACAGAGTAAGGGAATCAGCATAATGGGAGACATGCCAATATATGTTGGTTATCATAGCGCAGACGTTTGGGCAAATAAGAAACAGTTTTTACTGGTCAGTAGTCCCTAAAGAATATCTCTGACGTCTGATATAATCTTTATCACTTTTTGGAGGATATTGTACCTTCGGATCATAAAATAATCTCTATATTTATCTGGCAGAACAAGAAGGGCTTTCCTCTTTTAGTTAGCGGTGTTCCTCCTGATGCATTCAGTGAAACTGGTCAGCTTTGGGGCAGGTTTGAAGTTAATGCCATGATAAATATTTTGGTTAAATCTCAATTTTTCACGTTTTTCATTCAATTATTGTCCTGATTCTTTCTGCTTATTCTGTGATAATGGTCAAAAGGTATATTCTTTTGACTTGTCTTGTCTCAACTCAATTTAGTTCCTCTCCTTTCTCCTTTGTGCTTTAACCATCTATGCCCTTATACGACAATATATCCGGCTTGATTATTTCTATTAGAAAGGGACGGGAACTAACTCGACGGGAGAGGATTGCCTAGGTCCTATATCAAGCATTTTGGCCATATTTTTAGTCAATGTAGGATATTTATAGATCCTATTTCAGCCTTTTTCTCCTTGGTATTTTCTTTTCTTTATTGTAATAAATAACTGTTATCATGTAATAGTAATACTGTAGTACATTGTTGTAGGTTTCCTGTTCCACATAGATTACTGATTTCTCGTACTTTATACTGTCAAAATTTAATGAAAAAGCCCCCTATATGATTGGAAAGCCATGGAGAAAGATGGATACTCGTGGTGGATACGTCGCATAAGACGGGCACAAAATCTATTTGATGAATTTAGGATTGACCACTTTCGAGGATTTGCTGGATATTGGGCAGTTCCCTCTGGTAAATATACGCTCTACACTAAGCTTATTTCACGTGCTTGGTGTGTTGTTGTAACATGTGTGTGCTCTACAAATGTGCAGAAGCAAAAGTAGCTATGCTTGGAAAGTGGAAGGTCAGAACCTCTCATGTTGTTCTTTTTTTAATCTATTTGGTCAAACTATAATCCACTTTGTATCATTTAAATGATAGGTAGGGCCTGGAATGTCCTTATTTGATGCCATTTTCGAAGCTGTTGGAAGGATTAATATAATAGCAGAAGACTTGGTATGCATTGTTAAAACAAACTCAATAGTTGTTTTAGGTTTAAATATGTTTTTAGTCTCTGAAATTTGAGCTATTTTTGTTTATGGTACTTTTAAATTGATCTTTTTAGTCCCCAGTAATTTGAAAAAAAAAATGTTTAAGTCCATTTGTTCAAGCATCTTATATCTAAACCTAGTCAAAATAAATACTTTGAAAGGAAAATAAATGTGGTTGGGTATTTGATGGTAAGAATGCAAAATAGAAACAGATTGTCATGTCAATGATTTATAATTGCTTGTTACATAAGCAAAAAATTTAACAGTATTTGGACAAAAAGACTAAAACAAACATTTATCAAATTAGAAGGACTAAAAAGATCAATTTTAAATTTGAGAGACTGAAAACTTGTGGGAATAAAAGCATAGTTAAACCATCAGGTCATTGCTTTTCATTTATTCCTGACTCTTTTCTTTGGGTTTTTTGTGATTTACAAAAGGGAGTTATCACTGAAGATGTAGTCCAACTAAGGAAATCCATTGGAGCACCTGGAATGGCTGTTCTCCAGTTCGGTAATGATTAATTACTTAATTTTGTTTACCATGCTGGTATCATGCTCTAAGTAATTCAAAGTCAGGCTGCCTGAATGTTTTTATTTTACTCTGTCCAGCGTTTGGAGGTGGTGCTAATAACCCTCATTTGCCTCATAATCATGAATGCAATCAAGTTGTCTATACAGGGACTCATGATAATGACACAGTAAGAATTTATTCTGCCATACATCTACTGGTGTTACATATCTATCTTATAAAAAAGGGCCTGGATATACTCTGCAGAAATCAGTCCAAGATTGTGATAGGGAAGGGATCTGGTATATTAATTATAAAGTGTGGGGAAGAACTTTAAATATACAAAATAGAACAACCACACTATTGAACTTTGAGGGTCAGCACCTCTTAATGTCTACATATTACCTCACAATTGACAAGATGTTCCTCCTCTAATCCCTTTTTTCTTATTTATATGCAACATGCCTTATTTTTCTAATTATCTCAGCCCCAACTAACTCTCTCATTAATTATTCAACAACGTGTTATCTCACAGATTGCCAATCAGATAAGATTTTTGATATGGAGAACCCACACTCTCTTTTTTATAGAATTTTGAAATTGATGCATGCGCCTGACATGTATAGCTTAAGATATCTTAATTGTTTAGCTTGTATACTTTTTTCATGTCATAAAAAATATTACCTGTCAACACTAAACCTTGAGAAGAATTGTCTTTCTGCTACAGATCGGAGGCTGGTGGAAAGCTTTGAATGAAGAAGAGAAATCCAATGTAGGTTTCGTAGTCTTTTAGAAGTAATGTAATGTATTTTTTATTTGAGAGAGTTCATCTTTCTCTTCATTTTCATATTTCAGGTACTAAGTTATCTTTCATTAAATGAGGCAGAAGACATTTCGTGGGCGCTAATCCAAAGAGTATTGGGTTCTGTTTCTCAAACAGCAATAATACCTATGCAAGATGTTCTTGGATTGGGCAGTTCTGCCAGGATGAATATTCCCGCAACTCAGGTAAAATGTTATGCATGATGTTCATTGTTTATTCTAGCAACATTTTGGTTTATTCAACCAGAAAAAAAAAATTTAATATATATTAGAAGAATTGTAACTTCTGGACAAAATTAGATCCCTCTCACAAAAATAAATAAATAAAATCATGACATTGGTTGATCCCCTGACTGATGCAGTTCGGAAACTGGGGTTGGAGAATTGCAAGTTCGGTGAGCTTTGATAGCTTGGAGAGAGAAGCAGACAGACTCAGAGAAATGCTTTTAATGTATGGCCGGCTTTGAATATGGAATTCCTTTTTGAGTGTAAAGTTGAAGAGTTTTCTTTGTAAAGCTTAATTGGAAAATGCATGATGTCGATAAATCAAAGCTGGGTGCTAGTGTGGGGGTCAAGTACTTCGAGAATGCTGGATGCTTCAATGGAAGTTTGTAAAAAATGATAATGCCTGTCTCTTACTTCTTGTAATGCTATATAACTTGCTTATTTAAATAAGAAAAAAGTGTTGTGTCATATAATATTAATTTCCATTTCATAGAAATGGTTTTCACAAAAAATATTAGAAGATTTGAGTGTCATAATGTGAATGTAACGCAGGCGCACAATCACTAATGTTTTGCATATGTGAGAGCTGGTTGCAGCCGTAACTGCATTCATCCTGATGAAATAATTTCGACACAAATTTAGGATGTTTGGTTGCTAAAAAGCAAAATCGAGCTAGTAAAATCCATGTTGTGTTTGAAGTATCCCATGTAATTTTTGCTTCATCGAGAATTCTTTTGCCCTTTTAGCGGATGCAATTTCTCTATTTTGCTCTCCTTTATCATTTATTTATTGCATGTTGCATTTACTCTTCATGTTTTCTTGCTGGATGCTTATTTGCTCTGTTCTTCTGCTATTTGACGCGTTCTTCTTCTTACTCTTCTTGTTTATTATTATTCTCAACAACTATTCTCTTTTTATTCGTTAGGGCTCACACTTTTGTGGCTTAGGTATTTAATGTGAATGTTAAGCCAACTCCATGGACTGTATAGGATTGCACGAGTCTTAATTTTTTCTTGAATTGACCACAATTTTTCCTTTGTGGATGTAGAAGCTCTTAATTCCCTGTCCAATAGGCATAAGTAGTGAGTTTGATTTGATATACATAGCCTTACAATGTTAAAGTGAACAATTTGAATAGCAAAATTCTACATTCTGTTTCAATGCTTCAAGTTCTGCTGTACACATTTTCATTTGGTAGTCAGACAGTTAATATGCAAAAGAAAATTTCTCTTACAAGCAAGCTTCAAGTTATCATGTTTCTTGTCTTAATGTTACCTGTTGGAGGGCCTTTAGAATTCAGGATTGGGTTAAGGTTAGATGTCTGCAAATGTTAGATACTGTTGATCCTATTGGGTTTTTAGTACAAGCAGAATTTGGATTTATAATCCTGCTGCTGTGCGAACTTTGAACATGTTGTATATAGACTTAGAAACTAAACTTTAAATTCATCAAATAGAGCTTTTCAACAAATAACTTGAAAGTGTTAATTGTTAAGTTTTCAAACTGTTTATAAACTAATTTTTGTCTGACACCATAAATGTCTGATCCCAACTCTAATGCCAGTCAATCATGTATCGCTTTCATTCTGAAGAAGCATGGACTCTAATTGTTTTTAGGTTCATTCGTGATCATTATGAATGAAACATATTCAACCCTGAGTTAAGGCCCAAGTAGCTAACAATAGGTTACATCGCATCACGATGTTACTTCCAACCTCCAGAAGATGACACATTTGGACAAAAAATTAAAACTAATGAGAGAAATGAATAAATAGATAAGAGAAATTCTAGGATATGCTACCTACACGTTTGGTTCGACATGTGTGTTCCTCGTGGATTATCTCTATATATCTATATTTCTAATGTTGTGTAGCGTGGACAAAACAAAATGCATGTGCTCATGTGCTTGTTTGAAATTAGTTTTAAAATAGATTATTATAATGTTAAAGAGAAAATAAAAGTCATGGGGTGCTGAGAAGAACAAAAGCAGTGATGTATCAGCAGTGGGTTGTAATTCCCCACCAACAGGAAGCCATGTCAAGCCCCTCTCTTTTCGAACCGGAAACAGAGACACCGACACCACCCAACAACCTCATCCCCTCCCTCCCAGACGACGTCGCTTTGAACTGCATAGCACGCATCCCTCGCTGCCACCACCCAACCCTATCCCTCGTTTCCAAACCCATCCGCACCCTCCTCTCTTCCCCTCTCTTATTCACCACCCGCTCGCTCCTCAACTGCACGCAATCCCTCCTCTACCTCACTCTCCGCTCACGCGCCTCCTCCCTTCAGTGGTTCACGCTCCACCGCACAGTCCCTAGCCCCCTCCTCGCGCCCCTCCCCCCGATTCCCTCCCCAGCCGTGGGCTCCGCTTACGCCGTCCTCGGCTCCACCATCTACGTCCTCGGCGGCTCCATCAACGACGTCCCCTCTCCCCACGTCTGGCTCCTTGACTGCCGCTTCCACCGCTGGCTCCCGGGCCCTCCCATGCGCGTCGCCCGCGAGTTCGCTGCCGCGGGAGTTCTCGACGGAAAGATCTACGTCATCGGCGGCTGCGTCGCCGACACGTGGGCCCGCTCAGCCAATTGGGCGGAGGTCCTGGACCCGGACGCGGGGCGCTGGGAGAGGGTGGCCAGTCCCGCTGAAGTCCGGGAGAAATGGATGCATGCCAGCGCTGTCGTCGGCGACAGGGTGTACGCGATGGCGGATCGCGGCGGCATCGTGTACGAGCCGCGCAGCGGATCGTGGGAGAGCGTGGGCGGTGAATTGGATAACGGGTGGAGGGGGAGGGCGTGCGTGGTGGAGGGGATTTTGTACTGCTACGACTATTTGGGAAAAATCAAAGGGTTCGACGTCGGGCGCGGTGTGTGGGAGGAGTTGAAGGGGTTGGAGAAGGGTTTGCCCAGGTTCCTGTGTGGGGCCACCATGGCTGATTTGGGTGGGAAATTGTGTGTGGTGTGGGAGTGCCAAGGGAATGGGAAAGATATGGAGATTTGGTGCGCTGAGATTGGAGTGAAGAAGAATTCAAACGGGGAATTGAGGGGTCAACTTGGATGGATTGGGAAGGTTCTCTCTGTTCCCAAAGGCTCTTCAGTTGTGCATTTATCTTCTGTTGCCTTGTGACTTATACTGTTGTTGTATGCATTCTTTAAATTTTGCATTGAATTTCTGCCACTTGATCTTATAAGTTCCTTTTGAGTTTGTAAGTTCTTTTTGAGTTTTCTGCCACTTGATCTTGTAAATTTCTTTTTGAATTTGGTGGCATTTATCCCCTTGTGTTTGTGTGATTACATGTGATGTTGTGAATACATAACTGGAGCTGCTCAAGTATTAGAGCGACTGCAAGTAAATCTAGCGATGTAATCGACTTTGAATTTCAGCACTGGATCTGAGAAAGCAATACTCTTGTTGCATAACATGACATTCATTTGTCAGTTATTTGGATGATCGCAGGAAATTTGTATTTATGCCAGCTTATCATATCTCAATAAAATATTTCCTTTCATGTTTGTACATTCTCACTCTGGCAGTGAATGATGTCAGTTTCTTTAGCAAGTGAATTATATGTCATATTTGGCAAGATGTAGTTGTGAGTAAGTAGAACAGCTGGTTTAATTTAAACCAACAAGGTCCAAGAATACCTACATTCTAGCAGCTTTTCTTTAGGGACATTTGAACTCTGGTTGGAGCCCAAATTCGTATGTTCGCTATATTTGGTCCAAAAGGTTCAATATTCTTGTGAATACGAGTTTAGCATTTTTCTTGTCAAAATGTGCTTCCACAATTACGCCTGAACACTAGATATGCTGTGTTTCTTGATGATGCATGCATCATTCTTTTTCCAAACAAAAAGATTACCATGCTATAATTATGAAGTGAAGAGGGAAATATGCTGAACTAATTCACAGGATAAATAAGTATCAGTGATGCAAAGTGTAGAACAATTTTAGCTCTGGGGATGTTAGTCAGGATTGAAACTCAGAAGGAGATGGAACTCAATAAACTCGTGTGAAATAACATGCGAGTTAGGTAATAATACTAAATAAAAGTAATATTCCATAGACTACTTAAAGAAAGTAGGATTGAAAATGAAACATAATCCAACAATAAAGGTGGACCTGACGCTCCAAATGTCAAACCAAACACTCACCCAATCATTTTAATGGTTTTGTTTACTGTGGATTTTTCGGTTTGGTTAGGACAGTTTTTATAGCATTGGATTTGCACAAACTGATTTATCCAGTTCGGATTTCACCAATCATCACATTTACCCATAAATATGAAAGAACAAAAAAAAAATATTTAAATTAAAAGCTGCATACCGTCTACCTATGTTTATATTACACATAAATTCTAAATATTTTTGCATCTTGATCATGCATGCATTATTATGTTTCCAAACAAAAGGATACACAACATTGCCATGCTCAGCTCTAACTTTAATTTGAACAACAAAACATGTTTGTGTTGAAGATTGTGTTAGAACGTGCTTAACAGCCATCTTCACTCACAAGAAAGTCTTTGATTTGTTCTAGCGCCTGAAAATACATAAGCACCAAATAAGTATCAATTTTGCAAAATGTAGATATGATTTTAGCTCTAGAAAATGTTAGTTAATCACAAGCAAACTAAAATGAAGTTTAGAAGATGGGGCAGAAGAGATAGACCTCCATTGCAATAGCAGCTGGAGATAAATCTGACACATTTCCATGACCCAGTTCTGCAACCATATCTGTACAAAAAGTGCATAACTCAATAATAGATGCATGCTATGTAGAATGCGGATGATGAATGAATAATACCTAGAAATCTGAAAAATAAAGCAACATGAATTTTCATGCTTTAACATTGGACAATCTGTAAAAGCACCTACCCAGAACACAAGACCAGAAAATTTAAGTTGCAGAAGTCAAAAGAGTTTGCCTTCCATGTTGTATTCACAATGATTCTGGATAACTATTCTTAATTTCTCATTTAAAAAAAAAAAAAAAGAATAACAATTGCAGACATACTTTCCAAGGAGACCCTAACATTGGCTTGTGCATATGCTTCAGTTCTTTCTTCAAAAAGGGCAGACAAACGCATGAAAGTCTGCAGGTGAATTCCAGAAGGTAAAATACAAAATTCATTTAGTAGAAAAAAAGTATTTTTGATGCTAATACCCTACTTTGATCGTTCCTCTAACTATATTAGACTCTTCATATACATTTTGAGGAATCATATACCTTCGTGTATGCATCTCCCGGTTCATAGTGTAGTAGTGGGCGAGAATCAGTTCCTACAGCTGTTATCCTCCGAGCCAATGCTTCTACAGGTACATCCAACCAAACACTAATTCCTTGGTGCATATACTTCCTGCCAATCCATGTATAAGTATGTGTGAAGACTAAATTGAGAAAAGTTAATGCACAATAGGAGGTAAAACTTTACTCATTAGTATGTTAGTTATTATACCAATTACTGGCCCTCACAACAGCACCTCCACCAGTAGAAAATAACATGTCTTTGCACCATTGACAGCTTCCGCAATATCTCAGTCTACAATGGTTAAATAAGCACAGAAAATGAACAGATAACGTGGTCAATAGATAGTTGAGCCTGGGAGAAAGACAAAACAATTCAAGACACTCGTGAATGTTCTTATTGTATTGATTTGCTAGCACATGTTCTCGTTAGATGATGGCAAGGCATCCACTTGGCGTTTTTACATAACAAGGTTTAAAATCCCAATTTTATGTGATAGGGTCAAAATTGAAAAAAAATACAAAAATGGGTGAATTTGTGCTTGGAAGCATGGTTCCTTATGCAATAGTTTAAATTAAAATCGTGCTTCTAACTACAAGTTTCTCTATACAGACCTAAAATCGTGCTTTAAAACATGAGTTTAGTGTGAGATGCATGCTAGCACTTTAAGATATTCCAAAATCGTATTTTGAAGCATGAGTTTAGTTTGCACCAAAATCGTGTTTCCTGAAACGAATTTAGTTGACCACTTTGTACCAAAATCGTGCTTGCAAAAGTTCAATGAAAGTTTCCTCAACCTACAATGTTGGCCTATAACTTTGGACGAGGAGTGTGAAGGGTGTTGTTGATGTTGTAGACTTTTGAGGAATATTAATAAAGGAGTGTGCTTTTAGGTTGAACATTCAATTTGACATTGAGTATTATTTTGAGATTTTATCATCTAGGTAACTGTTGTTGCTGCCTATAAATACAACAGCATATTGCATTAATTTTCATCCCTCTCCTATTTGTTATCATATTCCATATAGTTGCCATTTTTTATTTGATGCAGCAACACTATCCAACATAGGTAGCACGAGTTAAATAAAAAAAGAATACCTCCAACTAAAATCAATTTTAGCTTTACCCACCGAACTTTTCCTTGAAAATACGAAGAAAATTATGTTCTAAGCACAATTTCATCAATTTATGTAATTTTGTTTGATTTTGACCCACGTAAAATTGTTTTTTTTTTTAACATGTTATATTTTCGTTAGGTTTTAAGTCCAACTCCATTTGGGAGCTATTGTGGCACTGTTGAATACCCACGTATGCCACAAAGCGAGGAGAAAGGGTGCGTGGAGAGATGAGGTGGTGTGACCTACAAACGGAGAGGAGTGAGGTAAAATAGGGAAATTGTGATATGGAAGGGATGTGTAGAATTGAGTGAGGAGGAGTGTTTCTTCTTCGAAGGATCAACCATTCATTATTTCTTTCCATCACAGTCATAAAATGCTCCCGCCAGAGTTTATATTTTATTTCTTGACAAACCAAACTCAACTAATTTTGTTTGCCAAAATCCAAATTTCCAAATGTAAATGATCTTCAATTATTATATTAAATTTGGATAGAAGAGTGAGGAACAAGTGAACTGGAAATATTGTGTTCTTTTAGCTGACCTCTTTATTACGAAAAAATGTCTCTCCATAGTACTTGAATATATCAGCTACAGATGTTCCATCAACCTCCTCCTCCACCAATGCATCACTGCTCCCAAATGCAAAAAGGAAAACATAAAATTTCCAGTTGAAACTTTGATGTGTGCATGAAACAGAATAATTCAACTGTGATACGCAAACATTTACATAAGGAATATTTTATACCAAAGACAGACCCGACTTTTATCCTATTTATACAATACATTTGTTGCATATCCGTAAAGTCAGATGATAATTGAAATTGTTTCCCTGTTGTGCTAGTTATGTATTGGAAATTCAAATGTTGCATGCTTCAGTTACCTTCAATACTCTATTTTTCACTTTGAAAAGAACATAGGAGGGTAACAAACCAACCTATCAAAGAACGCATAAGAAAGCACTTGTGACAATATCTTCGCCACGGTTGTCTTCCCGGAGCCCATCATTCCTACATGTCAAATCCAAAATATTTTGTGCTTGCAATGTATTTAAGCAAAAGCACTTCTACCAAGAAGAGACTTACCAACAAGATATATACAGCGCCCATTTAAATATGGCTCCATCTCTTGTGATTTACTCTGCAATTTTATGAATTCATGTAAGATAATGACATGTTGATGCTCAGACAGGTAACAACTGAGCTAAGATTACCATGTCTACATGGTGTCTTGTAACCTAAGGTTGCAACATTATAACACTAAAATGCCTTAAAATCAACTGAAAGTGAGAAAGGGCATCGTGTCATAAACCTTCAAAATCAACATTTCATCAACTGGAGCTTGAAAGTTATCATATTCCAATATTCTCACTATAGGAGTAAACATTTGAAAAATTATGTTAGGACTCAAAATGGACAACTATCAAGTAAAGTTTTACCCACGTTTAGTTCGCTTTGATATAACCAAATCTTATATGGTACACAGAAACGGATCCAAGGGGTGTCAGTTGTCTTGACATTGTCCACTAAAATTTTATTTTTATTTATTAATATAATTTAGTTTTAAAAAAAATATTTTTCTTTTTAAAAATCAATAACATTTAAATTTTTATTTTATTTAATAATTTTTCTCTCTTAATTTTATAAAATAATAATAATAATAAATATTATTATTTTATTCTCTCACACAATTTTCAATTTTGTCTCTCTCATCCTTCTATTTATATGTTTATACATTTTTCTCTCCCTTTTTTGTATTTTCTCACTTCCACTTTCACAATTTAACCTTGTATCAAAATTTATAAATTTTTTTCTTTATTTTTTTATATTTTCCTCTTCCATGGTTTCACCTTTATAATATAAAAAAAAATACTTTAAATTTTCTTATGTAGAGACAGAGTATTAGAAACCAAAAAATAAGAAGTTCAAAAAATAAAGATACTCAAAATATTTGTCTTGATCTAAATAAACAAATAAGAAAATATAGTGTTTTATTCACTATTATAACAAAGATATTTAACGACGTTAAAAATGGTCTACCATATCGATTGTAGACCTTTGTTATTGTATGTGAGAGATATGATGGCAGTTAGGACCATCGTTATATAGAAGTTATATAACGACGATTATTTATAAATAACTGACATTGTATAACAAATACAATGATGAGTTTTATGAATATTCATCGTTGAATCCTTGCGTCAAGTATGTTTATGACGATAGTTATGGTATGAACCATCGTCATATCTTTTTTTTTTTTAAAATAAACAATATGTTTTATGGATCTATCTTATTACCTGCATATTCAATCAACCAAGACAGTATAATACAGATTTTTAACATATGTACAATATATAAGCAATCATAAATATGTACAATAGTTAATATTTATTAGAATCCTATAAAGTCGTTATAAACATCTACAATGTACAAGAATAATTAATTAACTATCCTAACGTTCAACCAAAATATCATGATCATATTGTTAAAGCTAGATAATGTTGTAGTTGTTAAGCTTATTTTATTCAATGAAAGAATGACAAGGAAATAGAAAAGACATAAAAAAAGGGACCCATGACTAGGTCATGCCTACTTATGCGGAATAAACAAATAACAGAGAATCATATTCCTAGATAATAGGTTTATTAAAAACTAACAAGAAGCAACGTACACACAACGACATTCTTCCAACAAACCCTCCCTTAAACTAGACTATTATTAAGAAAAATACAGATTCCTTCAATGCTGCACATTCCAAGTTTTTCTCTCAATTTTACGAATACTTCAAGTTTATATGTCTTGGTCATGATAGCAGCTAGTTGATCTTCGTACCACAATGCACTAATTCAACTTCTCATTAATTTGACAACTCTCGAAGAAAATGAAATCGAACATGAATATGCTTACTCTTACCCTACATGACTGGATTTTTTGAAAGTTTAATCGTTGAGCTGTTATCACAAAATATAACGCACTTACTTTGTTTAATCCCCAATATGTCAAGTACATGCATCATCCAAATACTTTGGGTAGTGTACGCTGCTGCAAAAATGAATTCAGCCTCGGTGGTGGATAAAGACACCACAAGTTGCTTTTTTAACTCCAAGCAACTAAACCATTTGACATCTTAAAAAGATACCCTCAAGTACTCTTTTGATCATCAAGGTCTCCAGCATAATTACTATCACAGAAAGCTGAAAGTGATGAAGATCTTATTAAACCATATGATAGATTGAAGATCTTAATGATTTGATGAAGTCAAAGGTTACTTGGGTTAAAAGGTAGAGTGATTAGTGAGTCAACATCAATATTAATAGGTATAATCATTCATATCTCTCTACTACATGAAGATTATTCATTTTGGAAGAATTTGAAAATGCCTCTTAAAAGTTTTTTTATCTGTTAAAAAACAAATTAATCGATTAATATGTTCTTAAGAAATAGTTTTAACTTATACTCTTTAAGGTTAATCGATTAAAATAAGCTAGAAACATTCTTGACAATATTTTAAGCTGATATAACTTTGAATTAATCGATTAAAATCACTTGAGAAGTTTTGAAAAATGTTCTGTCAATATTTTAATTGATGTAACTCCGAATTAATCGATTAAAACCACTTGAAATGTTTTGAAAAGTGTTATGTCAGTATTTTAACTGATATAACTTCGAATTAATTGATTAAAATCACTTGAGAAGTTTTGAAAAATGTTCTGCCAGAATTTTAATCAATTAAAACAATTTAAGGAAATTTTTGTCAAATGTTTTAATCGATTAAATTAGGCTTTCATCAGTTAAAATCACTTATGAAGTTTTTGAGAAAATGTTTGACAGAATTATAATCGATTGAAATGCGAATTAATTGATTAAAACAACTTAGAGAATTTTTGTTTAACTGTTTTAATTAATTAAAATGTCGTTGGATCAGTTAAAATAAACCTGAAAAATGATTAAGCACATTTTAACCGATTGAAAGAAAAATTAATTGATTAATCAAAATTTTGGAACATCTTGTGCTGCAAGCATACATCTCACCATATTCATCAAGGTGCAATTTCTTCCTTCGGCAACTCCATTCTGTTGTGGTGAGTAGGGCAGTGAGTTGTCTTGAGATTCCAGAAGTGTTGTAATAGTCATTGAATTGTGATGAAGTGAACTCTCCTCCTCTATCAGCGCGTGAACACGTTATGCTGTATCCTGTTGCTTTCTCAACCAATGCCTTGAACCTTTTGAATGTATCAAAGGCTTCGAACATGGCCTGTAAAAATAAGACCACATTTTTCAACTATAATAATCTATAAAAGTAAGGATATGCCTCTTATGACTATAAGATTCAGGAGTAATGGTACCACATATGTCTGAATGAATAAGTTGTAGAGGTCAGGATGCTCTCCAAGTGCTATTTTTTTTAAAAGGATCACGATGCTGCTTTCTAATCATACATATTGTGCACAACTGGGACTGATTCTTTAATATTGGCAGGACTTGAACCATCTTCCGGTAGGCAAGAGTCCACAGTCCTTTCATGTTGAGATGACCAAATCTTTCATTCCGCAAGGTTACATTAAAACAAACTGCTTTTGATACATCAGTAGAGACATGGGGAATAAATGCCAAAAGCACAAACATACAATTTGCAGATATCATAGTTCATATTATCAGACCTTTAATATCCTGATAGATGCTACAACATTCATTCTTAATTAGTATAGACAAATTTCATTCCTAAAGTTGCCCAATGCTAAGCAAGTTTGATTTAAGATCAGGAATGTAAAATACCTTTGTGATAACCATAACTCATCCATCTATTTTCATTTGAATGTTGCCTTTTCCCATGACATCCAATTTGGAGTCATTTCCCAGCTTAACTCTCTGTCTAAACGATAGATCAAGGTCAGTGAACCACTTTTTTTCTCCACTCATGTGATTGTTACATCCAGAATCAAGAAACCATATTTCATCTTGTGTGGCTCCTTGCATTTTCACATATGACATGAGTAACATCTCTTCTCCTTCGTCTAGCTCTGTGTGATCTGCATAATTTGATGGTATAAAAAAAAGGCCAAAAAACAAATATAACAACTTGACAAAGAGTAATAATGCAGCGGAAATTCAATCCCCCTTCTTGCGAGAATCAGCGAGGAGCACCAAACAAATAGAATCCAAAGCACAAAGAGACACCAACAATTTTAACGTGGAAAACCCCTCAATGCAAGGGTAAAAACCACGAGTCGTCCAGACCAAAGAAAAATCCACTATGATCAATAATGGGGTACACAAGAGTCTCCAATAATAATACCAAAAGGTATTTTCAATAAGCAGAATTAACTAAGCACAAATGCTTACAAAAGAGAAACAAAGAAGATGAAAAATCTCCAAAACAGGGCTGCTGGTGCGGGACCAATTTCTCCCAATCTAGACCTTCGATTGACGATCCGAACGGTCAGAATGAAGAACCATATGTCTGGAACCTACTATCCAAAAATCAGCTCGATCCAACGGTGAACGACTTCACAGCGACGAAAACACCAGTGCAGATTTAGGGTTATGCGGAGATGACTTTCTCTCTTTCTTTTTCTCTCACTAGACTTTTTGTCTTTTTTCAAATGACTCTCTTGTCCTCTACTAATCGACCCATCTCATTTTACCCAAATGAGACATAATGGACCACACTATTTGGGCTTATTCTCCACATAGGAAGGGAGCCCAATAACCCAACAAATCTCCCCTCACGACTATGTGGAGATATCAGCCAAGCCGGCGATCTCACAACAAACTTCAAACTTTCCTCTTGGCAATGCCTTGGTCATCATATCAGCACCATTATCATCTGTATGAACTTTAGCTAGTTCCACCAACTTAGCATCCAAAACATCACGTATCCAATGATACCTCACATCAATATGTTTGGATTTAGAATGAAAAGTTGGATTCTTACCAAGATGAATAGTACTTTGATCTGTCACAATACAACAAGTATTTATCTTGCACAAAACCAAGCTCCTGCAAGAATTTCTTCACCCATAACAACTCTTTGCATGCTTCGGTAAGTGCAATGAATTCTGCCTCGAGTAGTAGACAACGCCACACACTTTTGCAACTTTGATTGCCAAGCCAAAGCTCCCCCTGCAAACTGAATCAAATAGCCTGAAGTGGACTTTCTGGAATCAATGTCTCCAGCCATATCTGAATCTGAGTAACCCACCAAAGTAGGTTTATCACCTCCAAAACAAAGTCTCAAACCTCTAGTACCACGAAGATACCTCAAAATCCATTTCACGAGCATTCCAATGCTCTCTACCTGGATTTGACGAAATCGCTAAGCTGTACCAACGAGCGTGTGCAATATCGAGGCCTTGTACATACCATTGCATACATCAAACTACCCAC